AAACCAGCGAGTTATTAGAATCTGTGATGATGAAATGACACGAAGTTTCTACAAACCAGCGAGTTATTAGAATCTGTGATGATGAAATGACACGAAGTTTCTACAAACCAGCGAGTTATTAGAATCTGTGATGATGAAATGACACGAAGTTTCTACAAACCAGCGAGTTATTAGAATCTGTGATGATGAAATGACCCGAAGTTTCTACAAACCAGCGAGTTATTAGAATCTGTGATGATGAAATGACACGAAGTTTCTACAAACCAGCGAGTTATTAGAATCTGTGATGATGAAATGACACGAAGTTTCTACAAACCAGCGAGTTATTAGAATCTGTGATGATGAAATGACACGAAGTTTCTACAAACCAGCGAGTTATGCCAAGAAAGCATGACGAGTCGTTTAATGTTTATTTATTACGTAAGTTTTGGTACTCGCCTCTTTTTTTCTTTTTTGGAAACATTGCGTGGTATAAAAAATAATATCATAAATATGAGAGTCTTTCACGTGTCAATCTTCTGACATTCTAAAGATGGAAAAGGTGATTCGAACAAACATACAAAACGAACCAAGAGAAGTGGGAAGAAGTTTGGGAGAAAAACGAGGCAATTACCAAAATGATCTCTCCCGACAGAGAAACAAACAAAATAACGCTGGTGATGACTGTAAAAATGTCTACAACAAAGTACTATTACTGCGAAACGAACAAAAATAGTTAAATTGGTTACAGTTGTTTTTGTAAAACGATGGTAAGCAAGTAGCGATTATTCTAGACTCTCGGTAACTATATTATTCCATTACACCATATATACAATCAACGTACATTTATCTTTTTTGTTTTAGATACACACCGTACTATCCGCACTGTGCCGACCGCGACGATCGAGCCCTAAGTTGTAACGTTACAAGCCCTGAATCTTACCACTTACTGGGAGGTAAGAGGAGGAATTAAAGATTAAGTTTAATTTAACCTAATAGTTGCGATACTCTTTACTGTGATGTAAAACCATGTTGTGTATTTAGTTTCAGCAAAAAAATTAACTATGACTCTACTAGTTCTCAGTCC